TTTAATTTTATATTTTATATATATATATCTCTCTCTCTCTCTCTGATACACACACAAACAAGAATATATATATATATATATATATTTCAAAAATATATATGTAAAATTATATTTTGAATTTTATATTTCATATAAATATATAAATATTTATCAAATAAATATTCAAATATATATATATATATAATTCATTCATCCTATATTACATTCATTGAATCTAGACATATTCCAGATTCAATGAACTTGAACATTATAACTCGAGTTGAGTTGTTCTTGTATGCGGCCCTGAAAGCTCATATGAAATTGAAAGTAGGCTAATTACACTATCAGCCTACAAGTCACAAGTGGCCTTTAGCAAAACATTGCAGCTACCCAATTCATATGGAGATCAATGATCCGATGTAACTTGTCATGCAACCATATCACATCCCTTTTGTCACGTGATATTTTGGTTGAGTATGAGACATGAAATTGTCATTCTCCTTTACCTGACTGTTACTTTTTCGATCTCTGACCGGACTGACAGTAGCAATAAAAAACCCTTTCCATTATAGTATGGCCATAAATTTTCTCAGTTTTACCCATCGAGGGGCCTAGTAATATATCTCACTTAATGTGAGGGATATATTCTATCTTGACTACTCATATTCCTCTGCATGAATATCACTAAACTCAATCATAGCCTCTTAATCACCCGGTCAAAGGTAACTTTTGACTAGGTCAAAGTTCAGTGGTCATCGTATAGGAATCCATGATGATCTCAGGTCAAAGGGCTTAGTAATATAGTTACATATGAGATAAGCTTATGACTTGTATCATGTAGCTTTCTCATAGCGGGTCAGTTCAGTACCTTGTACTCTTTCAAGTGTCTATGACTTTGATTTGTATCTCTATAATTAATCAAGGCTATACTAGTCTTGTTTCATCTATGATCCCTCATAGATGACTAACTAGAAATATTTAGGACAATCACTATAATTTGTCCAACGATACAGTTATGATATTGAACATATAATTATATGATAACAAAAGAAAAATTTATTAAATAACAATGTGCATAGCATAATGATTGGCTTTAGGATACAATTTCCAACAAGAACATGTATTATAAGTGGTATGATGATTGGTGATATGAAGAATGTGTATTTAAGTTTTGAAAGGAAGAGCAATTAAGAAATTATTAAATATGCTCACAAGGTTAGTTTATTATTGCAACCTAGTGAGTTATTTGAGTTTGTGAATTTGTGAAATGAGTGAGTATCGTACATTGCATGATCATTTAGTAGGAGTTTGTCTTAGAAGAGAAGTAGATAAATTCATATGGTATTATATGGCTGCCTTTCGATGAACAAGAGTTAGCATTGTCCCACTGTTTGTTAAGAAAGTGTCCCATTGTTTGTTAAAGGACTCAAACTCAGTTAACTCTACCAATTTATTAAGGAGTTTAGCTTAGGGTTTACGACACCCCAATGATTTGAGAATGGGGAAGCTGTGGTCCAAGAATAAGTGTAGGGATCTTTGTTCGAGTCACTCCTTATAATTGGTGAGCTTGGGTAGTCCATTCACACAGACAGAACGCTAATTGATTAATAACTCATGGTTTCAGTTGAAAGGTATAAGGAGGATATAAAGATAGATTGATTATGCATAATTTTTTATTCAATGTGTCACATGATCAATAAGTTTGTGGCAAGTCGTGATAGTTGATTGTGCTATTGTCACATAGTTATTAATATTGTGGTAATGTGCATTATTATTGTTGATTGGACCATTGTCATATGATTATTTGTATTGTGACAATATGCATTGTAATTTGATTTGTGAAAAATAAAAATAAGATAAATTGTGCAATTATGATATGTTTTATGTGTGATCTCATACATTTGAGTATTCAACTTTTATTTATATGTTATTGTCAATTAATATGCAACTGTATAGAATAGACATACTTTGGTCATTGAATGATTGTACTCATCCTTCTTTCTTAATATTTTTTAGGCTCTAACTCAAGTACGGAAAGTAAAAAAAGCTCTGGAGATTTAGAAATTCCAGAATTCATACTATAAAGCTTGATAAACTTATTTCTTTTATGTAATTAGAGAATATTGCCAACTAGAAAAGCATTTTGCATGTACTTGTACTAAATGGGTGATTATGATTGAATGTTGTATTTTAGGCCATGGAAAAGTGTGTGTAAATTAATTATTTTTTATAGGGCCAAAATACTAGTGTATGTATAGGAATAATATAAATTGCTTATTTGCAAGGGAAATTGATTTAATGCAAATAATTGACCTCCCCTACTGTTTTGATATTGAGTTTGAAAATGTGAATTAGATATTATTATATGAATGTGGTGTGTTGGACAGATAATCCTTAGTCTATTGAGCATAATCTAAGTGATAATTAGGGCTTTAGTACTTGAATGTGAGTTTTGGACACCTTTTGGTTGAGAAGAGTGTGAAAAGTGTTAAAATATATTTAGGTGTCTAACTCTTTTGTGTAAAATATTTTGAGAGTAAAACTCGTGTCATTGGCTAGATCTCGAAAGAAGTTTTTTGTAAACGCCTAGATTGCCTCAATTAGATGTCGAACAGAGGATCTGCACTTGCTTCTATCAAATGACAGCAATAGATGCTGTCAACCTATGTAATGCGCTACAATGCATCCCTTATTTCTTTGTAAGATTGATTTGTTTTAAAAGAAAATGCAATGCTTTAAATCTTTTTGATATCCCATGCTTACGTGCTTGTATTTTACGTTAACTTTAGTTTGTAAAATGACATTTGAGTATTCATTTAAATTTGAAAACTTGAGATTTTATTTATGCAAATATTTCAAACTTGATAACTTAATTGGATTAATTCAAGGATTAATATAATTTTTAGAGTTAATAGTGGACTGGTAAGGTTGACATTACAAGGGCAAGGTTCGATTATTGTCTTAAAAGATGAGGTCATCGCCAATCCAACCACAAACAGTCATTGTTGTCATCGGTTTGGTCCTCCGTTGTGTAACTGTTAATAAACATTATCGATGGAGAAGCTTGGTCAAATATGAAATGAGAAAGGCTTGAGGGTAAAAATGAGAAAATGAGATAAGTGAGGGTGGAATTGAGTTCTTTGGCTATAGAGATGGAACTCGCTTCTATCATTTTTTATGGAACTGAGTTCCATATAGAAGTGAGATCTTGTCTATCAAATATCCTAATTTTTTTTATTCTACTTCCACTTTTACCTCCCCAAGCCCGCCCTTAATTAGGCGTGTAATTAATAAAGTTTTTTAATTGAGATTTTTATTAAATAGGGTTGAATATGGAAAAAGTATAAAAATTTAAACATAATTAATTAATTTATTGAGAGAAATAATTTAATTAAAAATGCCATATGATGTTGATGAATAGAGAGAGGGGGGGGACTAACACTGCCAATTCATAAAACTTAAGGAATTTGGAGTAATAAAAAATATTAAAATTAAAACTAGTATTAAAACACGTTAATATTACAGTGACTTTTGGTTTATTTTTCCTGAAAAGCAAAAATGAAAGGCACTCTCCTTGACCGTTAAGAACCAAGACAACAATGATGTGGGGCATGGGTGGGTAGGTGAGCGAGCCACCTGAGAGAGTTCTCTCCAAATGGAAGATCTGGTCAATTGATATTAGGTGACATCGGTGGTACCCACTGCTCATTTTACCTGCTCGCATTAAAAATACCGTCATGGACGAAAATATCCCTACTCCTTTCCGCCTCTACTGTGTGTTACATATAGCTCACCTTCAACAGCTTTAACCTTTTTTCTGGACATTGAGAAAAATACGAAGAAAGAAAAATTGGGAGAAAAAGTTTTAAAAAATAAATTTTTATTATTTTAAATATTTTTTCTCAACTTTATTCCTTTGTCATGTTGTTTTTACTTTTTTCTTCTATCCAAATTAAACCAAAGAATTTAAGGTTGCAAATAAAATTAATTTCATGATCTTTTCAGTTATAAAAAAAAACTTTTACGTTACTGGGTTATCAAGTCATTGATTACGTGAAATTTTCTTATTAGAAAGTATACAAAATTTATCTTATTTTTGTTGTTGGTGGAAGATCAATCCAAAGTTACTACACTAAACTAACATCAACACAAATCTACCCAATTTCCCTTGCTCTGGACCCTTGTCAAGTCCGTCTAACATCAACACTAATATCACTCCCTCATTTTGTCTTTAAATTTGGTACGGTTTTGACAACATTTTTCTCAAATTCTTATTATAAGATTCTCTCTTAAAAAATCTAAATATAAAACATTTTATGGAATATTAATTATATTTTTTAATATTACATCTATTTAAACACATCAATTATAAAAGAGAATGTAATGAAAATTAAATTCTTTTTTCATTTAAATATAAATAAATTTAAAATTTTATTCTGTTTTTAATAAAAAAATTAATAACTTAATCATATTTCCTTCACTCCAATGAGATAATCAACTTGATACATCAAGATAAGCATGCAAGATATGAGAATAAAAAAGAGAGGGCTATTTATAAATGAAGAAATTTTTTTAGGTAAAAAATGAAATTTAAATATTTAAAAACAAAAAAATATACTCCCTCTATCTAAAAATATAAGACATTTTTTGATGAATTAGATATTAAAAGATATAAAGTATTTTTATTCTTTCAAAATATAATAATTATTATTTTTTAAAAATACTCTCATAAATAATAATTTTATATTTATTATAAAATATTTGATAAATATAAATAAATAATTATTTTATTAAGAAATAAAATTTAATTAAAAATATCTTCACCCCTCAACGCACTATATGCTGCACGATAGTATCTCGAATTTGCGCTTCTGGATGACAATCAGATGTGAAGTGAAAGAGATGGGAGGATGAATTCAAAGTCCAACTGAAGAATGGACAAAATGGTCATTTTATTTCTAAGGCACTGTTTGTATGTTGGTATTGCCGCATGTTCATTGTCTTGTTAAAACTTCATTTTTCTTCAGCGGAGTGCCCGAGAAACCAAACAAACCAGCTTCGGTCTCTTCCTGCAGTATAAGCCTCTGAGAGATCTTGCAATATCACAACCTACACAGTACACGCATACTACTCTTGCTTCTTCTTTCCCTCTTCCTCCTTCCTCGACGCCATGGCCTCCGCCACTTTCACCAACCTCAACTCTCTCTCCTCACAGTGGATCGGCCAGCCCTCATCCTTCTCTTCCCACCCGGGATCATCCATTCGCCTCGCTGCCCGCCGTGTCTCCGTCCCGATCCGCGCATCCTACACCGACGAGCTCATCCAGACCGCCGTTGGTTCCCTTTAGACCCTTGTGCTATTACTTTTCCTTTTCGGTTGTTGAATTAACCTTTGGTTTTTGGTGGTCTTTTATGTGCTTGCTGTCGTTGTTGTTGATCTTCCTCATGTTGTTTGGGGAACTGTCCTTTATCTTCGATCAAATATTGTCGTTAATTCTACATGTTCGGATCAATTGTTAACATGTTTTTCGTTGCCCCCTCAATGTACGAAGAGAAAGACAAAGTCTTCTAGTTCTATTTGTTTTGTTTTTTCCCCGTGTTTTAAATTGAAACTTGTGTGTAATGCTTTTCTCATCCCTGAATACGAGAACCCATTGTTAAATGCTTGCTTCTTGTTCACTTTTTCTCTTGTTGAGTGTGTAATCGCTTGCTGTGGTTTCTTTTGGCTCGTTGGGTATTTAACTGTACTGGCTTAATGTAGCTGGAGAGTCTGAGAGCTCGTCTGTTGTCTCTGCTGTTAAGGATGGACCTACTTGATTTAAATCTGCGGCTGACCTCAGTGACTAGTTTTGAATTTGTTCAACAACCTGTTTTTATATGCTTAGCATGTTATTATATTGATTTCGTCGTTGGTTTGGGTAATGTATGGATGGAATGGAAAGCTTCAATTTTTCTTGGAATATGCTTTTGCTTTTCTATAGATCTAAATTCTAGTCCAGTTATCATAACAGCAATTATAAAGCCTGACCAATGACCATTTCCGATTCTTTTGATTGTATAGAAATCTATTGCGTCCCCTGGGCGGGGAATCCTGGCTATTGATGAGTCAAATGCAACTTGTGGTAAGAGGTTAGCATCTATTGGGTTGGACAATACTGAAACCAATCGCCAAGCCTACAGACAACTTTTGTTGACCACACCTGGCCTCGGAGATTACATTTCTGGTGCTATTCTATTTGAGGAGACCCTTTACCAGTCAACTACAGATGGAAAGAAGTTTGTGGATTGTCTACGCGAGGAGAAGATTGTACCTGGCATCAAAGTTGACAAGGTATGGTATATATGTTCACATTGAGTAATTCTTCAATTCTAATATCTAGAATGAGATTTTTGTTCCAGTTGATTACTTATTTATTAATCATATTTCTGGCTTGTGCATTTCAGGGTTTGGTCCCGCTGCCAGGGTCTAACAATGAATCTTGGTGCCAAGGTCTAGATGGATTGGCCTCAAGATCTGCTGAATACTATAAGCAAGGTGCTAGATTTGCAAAGTGGTGAGTGATTCTTTATTACTTTTAAATCTTGAACATTCTTAATTTTGGTCAAGTTTTTGAAATTTTATTGAAGGCAGACCATGATGGTTTGTTTTGGTTTATACAGGCGAACAGTTGTTAGCATTCCAAGCGGTCCTTCTGCATTAGCTGTTAAAGAAGCTGCATGGGGACTTGCACGATATGCTGCCATCTCTCAGGTATTCATTCACTTAAGAACCTGTTTTGGCTGGTATGAACTTGCATGATATGTCTTTTTGCATCCAGTCTCTCCATTGGGAGGCTCTTTCAGTTGAAGGGGTTGAACTGGAGGCTTTTGTGGGCTTGTTTTTGACTATGTCACTAGGTGATGAAAAGGACAATATTTTATCGAAAGCACAAGTTCGTTCGTGATTGGTTTGTTTTGAAATTTCTCTTTTCACTTTGGTGGAGGTTATTATTTTTTACATATGTAGCTTAGGCTTAAGATGAGTGACTGATATGAGAAAAAATGCCCCCAAGTGGACGAGACACTTGCTGAATTTGAAGCCTTGGGATTGCCCTGATTGTGTGAAACTTGAAATTTCTGAGATTTTGGGATTTCTTTCGTCCTTCATACTTCTAAATCTTAATTCTATGATTCTTCCTACACGGTAAAATTTTACAGTTTGATGCTTGAGATTGGTACGTGTTCACCATTGTTGTTCCCTGGCATAAGTTTTGCTGCAAGGGTGCCTTGAACCCATATTCAAGCACTATCACCTTATTTGGATGATCTGTAGTTGAAAATGATATTGCTGGTGAAGAACACATATTTCATGTTATTATTGTCAATTTTTTGATGTGTTTTTTGTTTACTTGGATGAGTTATATCAATGACACGTGTTCTATTGCCAATGCAGGATAATGGTCTTGTTCCCATTGTAGAGCCTGAAATCCTTCTTGATGGGGACCACCCAATTGAAAGGACACTAGAAGTAGCAGAGAAAGTTTGGGCAGAAGTATTCTTCTACTTAGCTGAAAATAATGTTGTGTTTGAGGGAATATTGCTCAAACCTAGCATGGTGACACCTGGAGCTGAACACAAGGAAAAGGCTTCCCCAGAAACCATTGCTAAATGTACTCTCACAATGCTCAAACGAAGAGTTCCACCTGCAGTCCCAGGAATCATGGTACAGCTATTAAACCTCTTGTGTTTCGGAAAGAAAAGACAAAAGGCGATATATCATCTTCCTTCTATGCAAAACTCTTTCTAGGTTACAAGAATCCTAAGTTCAAAGGCTTTCAGTCACTTGTTACCAATATTTCCCTTCTATACTTGATTCTAGCTGCCTATAATGGTTGTAAGTTTGGGGCTATCTGTTGTGGCAAGCACAGTATGATGATGATAATAGCTTCAGAGTCAGCATTCTCTCCATTCTTGGCTGGAAAATCACTTCAATCTGAGTAGTCTAGATTTCTTCATTCCTTAAGGATAAAAAATTATCGAAATTATCTTATCAATGTCAAAATTATGGATTGCTCATCTGAACAGTCAGAATTTATTATAAATGATTGTCATTTTTTGTCCTCGAGAGTATTTAGGTTGGAGTTACTAGAAAATACTTTTAACCATGTGAGTATGTTTTGATTTCCTTTTCAGTTTTTATCTGGTGGGCAATCTGAAGTGGAGGCAACACTAAATCTTAATGCGATGAACCAAAGTCCCAACCCATGGCATGTTTCCTTCTCATATGCACGTGCACTGCAGAACACGGTGCTTAAGACATGGCAAGGGCGGCCGGAAAATGTAGAAGCAGCACAGAAGGCTCTTTTGGTGCGTGCAAAAGCTAACTCATTGGCTCAACTTGGAAAATACTCTGCTGAGGGTGAAAGTGAGGAAGCCAAGAAGGGAATGTTTGTGAAGGGTTATACCTACTAAAGTTGAGGCATATTCGATGCCTTGTGGCTATTTGAGCATTCCTCTTGTTAGCAGTGAACGCTGATGAGACTTAGTTGTATTGTATTATTATTATTTTACTTCCTTCTAGCTAATGAGTATGAATAAAGCCGGCGAGAAAGAAAGGTTTTGGCTTAGTTGAGGTTGTGGATTAGTGAAAGCCCGCAAGGGACAAGGAAAAACAAGTGAAAGGAAATTTGCGTTACTTTGTTTTTGTTGTCTCCTTTTTTTTTTTTTTAAATTTAACAAAGGCTATGTAACTTATAGATTTTACTTTCAGTAATTGGATGGTGTTTGATGGATGCATGTTGGCAAATTAGGTGTAATTTCGTATCAAGTTAAAAACCAGTATTTTTTTGGGTGATCCTTGTTGGTCTTCTTTGTCCACATCGTTCTGGCACAACACAAGTATTGGTTTCAAAAAGAATATTCGAATTGACTTTTAAGTTCTATATGCACTGTTTAGGGGATGGTATAATTGGGGAATATGCTATTACTTTTCCCTTTTGGCAAGTTGGAATTTGGTTTTTATCTCATGAATTCATTTGCAAATGAAATCTTGAGAAAGAGGGATGACATGAGGCGTATTCATATGGGACTCAATATCAAGTCACTCTATACTTTTCAATCTCTATCTGATTACATGGAGGACACATTTGATATACAAATTAGAGTATTTTTTTTATATCATAAGAAAAATCAAAATATGTAAAATCTATTTCATTTGTTCTGCTATTATTGAAAATTAATTCTGTTTCATTACCTTGTTTGAAAGTATAGAAGACATTCATGAAATTACTAGTTCTTTTATTTCTGTATCCTTTACTCAGCTCCACCACAATTTATTTATTACTTGGTTTTTGAATGTAAGAGAAATTATCATGTATTTCTTTGTTTCTAGTTATAAAAAATTACAAATTTTAAAAATATTTATTACATTTTTTGTAAATTGTCCTTTGTAAAGTCAATATTTAGATTCAAGAGGCAAATTTGTTTCATTAATTATAAGGATAATTTAGTCTAACTTTTTTTAATTTTAGGTTTAATTATTATATTTAACTAATTTTTTATACTGTGTAATTTGATTATTTTTTCTAGTATTTGGAAACAGAATGCGTATTATATTAATTTTTTTAATAAATTGTAGTTTTCATGAGTTATGACAATACTACTTCCTCATGTCCCCATTACATTTATAAGGCTCTTTCAACTATATTACTAGAACTAGGAAATAATAGTTATTTCCTCCATTAAAAAATATAAAGTGTTTTTAATTGAATATCACTCCAACAAAATAATTACTTGTCTTTAAATAAATCATATTTTTTCATATTTATCTTTATTTAATACGGTGTTTCACATTAAAAAAGTGATACTCGCTCTATTAAAAAATATAAGACATTTTTTAAGGAGTTAGATGTTTAAAAATATAAGGCATTTTTAATCTTTTGAGGTGTAATCATTGTCTTTTTTTTTTCAAAAGTGCCCCTATTGGTAATGACTTTATATTTATTGTAGGGTGTTTAATAGAGGTAAATATAAAAAGATAGGGTTAGTTTGAAAGTATGTAACTATTTTATTGGAGGTGAAATTTGATTAAAAATACCTTATATTTTTTGATAGAGGGAGTATATTCAATAGGGGTACTTTTAAAAAAGGGTAATGATTACACTTTGAAATACTAAAAATACTTTATATTTTTAAACGGAAGAAGTAACTCATTAAATATGTCTTAAAATTAAAAAAAATGCAACTTTACCCCTATTAATGTAGGAAAAAAGAGATACACAATATATGATGAGCCATAAAATAAAATTAACAATAGAGGAAAATTAAAAAATAATAACAAATAACCTTTCCTGTACTTAATATCAAGAATTAAAAAATTCTTCTTAAAAGTGACATATGATAGGGAGAGGATGGAGTATTTCTTATAATTCATGTAATGCACGGGACCCATAATTATTTGGAATTAAATAATGATGTTGGATTCATATAAACAACTCAAATGACACCCAATCCATGCACTCTCTCTCCTTTGCTGGATGAACACGGCATGAAAGCCCATCAAGTTAGAAGAAGACTAAGTCAACATGGACCAGAAACAAACAACAAAACAAAAATAACAAGACAGACACGTGAAGTCTCAACATGACATAAAATTATATTACTCTTTTCATTTAAAAATATAAAATATTTTTTAAAAGATTAAATATTAAAAAATATATAATATTTTTAATCTTTTAAGATGTAATCATTATTTTTTTAAAGTATTTTTATTAAATAAATTATTTTAAATAGAGATAAATATAAAAAGATAGGATTAGTTTGAAGATAAATAACTATTTTATCAAGGGTAAAATTTAATTACAAATGCCTTACATTTTTAACAGAAGGAAGATACTATATTCAAATGTTAGATATGATATTATATTATATTAAAATAGATATTGATTTAAATCCAATACCCCAATTTAAGATTTCACAAAGTTATGGAATATCATTAGAGATAATAAAATATTTTTGAGTTTGGCCTGAATCTGTTGACTGTATCTAGGTTTATGAATTTGTTCATTCTAAATAAGATAATAAAATTTGTACAAAAAATATAATAATAAAATAGCCTTGATGTTGGGTTATAAATAAAAGTTTATAGATTGAGTTAACATACAGTTAATTGAATAATATTTTTTCTATATTCTAACAAATTACATGATATATTATTTAAATTTACTCCTAACCTTGTCTTTTTTTTTAGTTATAGAAAAGTGAGACATACACTGCCTACACCCAAACATGTCATGAATAATTTAGCTTATTTTTTTAGACCTAACATAAGTTTGTTAAGTTCCAGATTATTTTAGCTTATTTCATTAAAAAAATCACTTATTTCTTGAAAAAAATTATGTTGTGGACTTTTATTATGTTTGTTTAAACTTCAAAAAATAGTCAGAATCTGAAAAAAAAAAGTAAATTTTTTATTATTTCTGAAAAAACCATATTTAAATTTTAAATAATATAATAATATATTATTTTTATAAAACAAAAATCAAGAAAGATATAATAAAATTTAAAAATAACTAACTAACAATTATTTTTATTATTGTAATCAAATATAAAAAAATGTCTACTTTTTTATTAAATCTCTACAAAATAAATCTCTTTTATAAAATTTTTAAACTACCTAAAAATTATTTATTTTTTTAATCTTAAACAAGGTATCCTAAAAAATAAATTCTTGCTGGTTTGTTTTGCCCCCTCAGACCTTGTACCAAAAGAAATACAACAAAAATCTAAAAACCCATAACTTGGGCCTTAAATTTTAACTGTGAGAGTGGTTCTTTATTTAGTGGGCCTATTTAGTGGGCCTTAAATACATTCGGCATGTTTCCCTTATATATGAATCATTTTTGGCCCAAAAAAGATTTGGACTCATTTTACATGTCATTCCATTAAAAAAAAGAAAATCTTACATCTTAAATTTAAATACTGCAATGGAAAAAAAAATTTCTGGGAGAATTTTGTACCCATAGGGTTAGACTCAACTTGATATAAATTGTTCAACACACAAAAATATTCTCACAGTTCAACTCGCACCGCCAAAAATGCAGGACCAATAAAAAAAAAAATAGAATTCCATGATATTCTCATGTCACTACTTTTGCATTGTGAAAATTGCTATTTAAACCATGTTTCAGAGTCAACCTAACTAGTGGAATATATTTAAAAAAAAAAAACTTGTTTTTAAAAAAAGTTTAATTTAACAGTACCCATCACCATCTCCTCATATTATCATCATTTTTTAAAAAAGAATTGAATGTAAAGAGCTTGATTTCAGGCCAAACTGAAGATAAAAGACAAATAACCCTAGCTGTATTGTTGCATGTGAATGTAACATTTAATTTTGCAGTGAAACAGCTAAGGTTCATTGACCCTTATATTAATGCATTTCTATTCCCAAGATAATTTTTTTATACCATTGAAAAATTAATAAAATTTAAATAACTAATTTCCCAAATCAAACCCTGCTTTAAAAATCCAATCTTTTGTTTTTCTCCCCATTAAATATTTCAAAAAATAAACTTATTTCTGTCACCCCATCTCCAAATAAAGAAACAGCCTTCAATTTCTATACCACTAGCTAGCAGCAATTAGAGATGTCGGATCAGAATCTAATGTTTAAAATAATTTTTTTTTACTATCAAATATTATTTTCTTATAAAAAAGTAAAAAAATTGCTACCACTATTGAAATGAGACATGGATTTTCTTGTCGGAGGACCGTACTTTGAGATTAGGTAAATAATTTTGAAAGCAATGGAATCTGACTCATTTGATGAGTTATGAGACAGCCTGGGTAAGGCCATGCATGCTTTGTCTTCAAAGGAAAACATTTGGACCTCATCAATTTTTTTTTTTAAAAAAACTAATATTAATAATAATAACATTAATAAAAATTATATTATATTATAACAATTGTAATTGCTGTGTTTTAGGGAGGAAGTTTTGTTTTGTTTTGTTTATTATTATTATTATTATTTGGACAAGAGAGGGGAAGTTTTGTTATTGTACTGTGTGTGTGTGTGTTTGCTTTGAGATGATGTTTGACATATTGTCTGTACTAAAACTTTAGTACTTTTGTGTTTTCTACTAATTAATTTTCTGTGGCTTTGTATTAAATAAACATGCACACAAATGAAGCAAAAAATGACCCTATAAGGCCCAAATCATGTGCTGATGCGCCTTCGTCGTCACATTGTAGGGCTGTTGGGGGTGCTAGGCCATGCCGGACCACCACCGGGGCCGGAAATTGTGGCCATGGATGAAAGCAGCCCTAAGTTTCAAAGGAGTAGGATGTGGAACTGAAAATGAGAAATTTTTTCTAGGAGTTTTAAAAAAATATTTTTTATAAAATATAAAATTTAAATGCATTTACAGATTATTCACCAATAAAGTTATCATATCAATAGAGGAATTTGAGTACACGACCTTGTGAGTTATAAGCTAAATTTTTATCAACTGAATCAATCTTTGTTGGTAAAGAAATTCTTTTTTTTTTGTTAAAGTGTTTAAGTGCTTTTAGTGAAAAAAATGTAATTTAGAATTTTGTTTAATATCAGGAGAACACAATAAATAGTTGGGGGGGGTCATGTTTGTTGGAATAGAAGGGATAAGAATATATGTTGATGTTGATTAAGTTACTTTGTGAATTAAATTTGCCAATAATTGGAGACAAAACAACAAAGTTGGGACTGTGTTGTTTCAAGCTTGTAGCCATGAGAGGTACATGTCATAGTTTTTGA